CTCTCTCTCTCTCTCTCTCTCTCTCTCTCTCTCTCTCTCTCTCTCTCCCTCCTGTCAGTAGGTGTCAAGGATGTTTATCTGGAATTAGTTAACGGTGAAATATGCTGCCAATCTGCACATTTCTTTTCTTTCTCTTTCCTGCTGGACCAAAACACAAACGTGTGTGTGTGTGTGTGTGTACCTGATTATGGGGACGAAAACACAGAAATATAATGCAGTTGCAGTTGATCATAATAATAATAATCATATTTATAGACCAACAAATTCCCCTGGGTTCAGAAAACAGAGGAGAGATGAAGGATGAAACTCAAACACACACACACACACAGACTCTCACACACACACACACACACACACACACACACACACACATTTACATGTTTCAAGGACATTATCCTTCACAATAAAACACAAGCTGGAAAAGAGAAGCGTCTGAGAGCCGGAGAGAGAGATTGTGATGAGTCAGAGTGCAGCCCGTCTGCCTGACGGAGGGACGGGCGATGGTTCGGCTCGTGAGCTATGGGCGGCAGATGAAGAGGAGAGAGGGAGAAGAAAGAGGACCAAAGACATCAGAGCATCTGTGATGTCAGACACCACATGACTAAAGTGTCTCTGAATCGAGCTCGCCCCACATATGCCACATGCATAGGTGTGCATACACCGTCTATGAAGTGCTAAATGTGTTCGTGGATCTGTAGTTGCCTGTTTACTTTACCTCAGGGTCACACTGATGCCAGGGTCACATGCTTTCAATGTGATAACTGTGTGCCTCTTTTCAATGTGCAAAAAGCAGAAAAGGGTTCAGAGCTCAAGAAAGAGAGCAGAAAAAACAAGATGTATTATGTAGAACAGATCAGAATAACACTATGGAGAGGATGCAGGCAAACAATGCAGCACGCTCTTCTTCCATCTGCATCCAGTCAGTACCAGATGCTCTCATTTCAAATGAATGGAGGCATCTTCACTGTATTCAGTGTGATCCCGCCCCGAGCATACGTTTAATTGCTTTTTCTTTCATTCCAGTCCTTAAAGATCCAGTCAAGGGAGGTCTGATTTGGTTGTAACACTAGATTAAAGAGGTTCAACATATGGTTGAGGGATTCACAAGAGACAGATTAATAAGGAAAGGACAGAATTTCCGCAGCAGTGGTCGAGATATCCTGACTTTTAGTCCTTAGTCTGGGATAAACTCTGGAAAAACTGGATCCTACATTTCCCATAAGGCAACTTGATAAGTCTTCTGTAAGACCTCTGTCTGAAACAGTGATATGATAGTATAATACTCTGTCAAAATGCAGAATAATAGAACGATTACTTGATACGTAAGAACATTTTAAAAACAGCAAAAAAAAAACAAACATTTGTTGGATTATATTAGAGTAGAAATCTGATGTAGCAACACCATTGCTCGAGTTGCAGTGTACTGTATTTCATGACACAATTCCTTTAATTTCAGATAATTAACTAGTCTACACTTTCCCTCGCAGGGGTTGTGGTCAGTTCGCAGCAGAGAAAGGCTGCTCTTGAAGCTAATCCTGGTTTAGCTGAGACAAAGGATCATGGCCTGATTAGGCTAACAAACACCGGCTAATCTCACTCCAGTCAACGACACCGAGAAGTCTTTACTGACCCACAGACAGAAAACATCGCTATAAATCTGTTCACATTAATAAAAGACGCCAGATTAAGCCCATTCCATCCAAAACTGTGAGCCACAATACGATGGTCGTAATCTCTAAATCAGAGGTCTTCAACAGGGGGTCCGCGAAATTTTTGGTTGATTAGAAAATTAAATTTTTTATTTATTTTTTCCCTCTAAACATGAATCTGTCCATTATTTTAATAGTTCAGTATTGTATGAAAGATAACAGGTATCTTTATGCATGGCAGTGATACTAATAGGCCATCACTCATTTTTCGTTTCCACGTTTAAAATGAAAACATCAATTTGAATAGCTTGTGTGCATGATTATCATGCAATTAACAGACAATGTTGATATTGACATTGGTATTAGCTGACAAGGTATGTTTATGAATGGCAGTGGCACAGCCACCCTACTCACTGTACCTGTTTAAAATGAAAACATGAATATATGAACCTGTGTATTATTTGAATAGCTTTGTATTGAATGCACAATAAAGAGGTATGTTTATACACGGTACTAGGCCCATTTAATATAAAACACAATTGTATACAATATATATAGTCGGGGGTCCCTGCTCCATCTCTCTATCAGTTTGGGGGACCTTGGCCTGAAAAACGTTGAAGACCCCTGCTCTAAATAATGAAGAAAGGTTTAAGATGCGGTGAAAGTCGTATTCATTTCAACAGTAAATCTAAAAGCTCCTTTTTCTCTTGATTTTACTGCAAGGACATTAGGTCACAGAGATTGGGAGAGTGTGTGTGTGTGTGTGTGTAAAAGTACTGTACGTGTGTGTGTGTGTGTGTGTGTGCTGGTGGTTGTGGTGTAGGGCTGCAACGACGGGGCGGGGCCTCCATGACAAGTGCTTACAAATCTGCTCAAAGTCAGCAGCAGATTATAGAGGCTTCCCCTCGCTAATACTCTGAGTTGTCACTCTTGGGTTGAAGTCACTCTGGCCATCGATGACTCCTCTGAACCCTCCCACGCTTTTCTCCTGCTCATATTTACATTTAAAGGGTCTAAATGAACACCTAACGGACCACTCGCATGGAAATAACCAGTTATTGGTGATTTCTGCAAGTTTATCCACATCGCCTCCTCCAACAAAATGACACTCCTCTGCTCTGTGGGGAAATAAACGTGTTCTTTCAACCTTTAAAGACGACATCATAAGAATGACTACAGTAGAAATGGATTCAAACGTGAAAAACATTTTATAACACGGTCCGGCAGAGACAGCTTCCGAGACGGCTGCGGAGGTATGCGAAAAAGTGTTTTGCTCACATATTCTCAGTAAAGCCGTCAATGGAAGTCCCAGACTGCAGAGGCCTCGTCACATGATGCCACTCATGTGAGAATCTGCTGTTTTTTCTGCTCAGCTGGGCAGACGCAGCGTGAAGCCAAGATACAGAGACCTCAGTGCTGCTGGACAGAGTTTGGTGGGAGAGAAACTAAAAC